TTTACAGGAAAAAACCTCATTGTTCGTAGACTACACAAGTGGGTCACTGAACTGTTGCTTGCTTTTGCGATGCCAGTGAATCCAAATTAGCTTGACTTCCACAGAGGATATAGGGAAGGAAAGCAAGCAGCATTAATCAGAGCAACACAAGCAGCTCTTCCAAAACAAATTAGCTTCAGCAGTCAGCACACAGAGTCCTTCAGTCAGTGCGGCCAAGCTGAACTTAGGCCAAACTACGCGTCAAAAAGAGTAACTGGTTTAATATGTATCCATGGAGTCTGCGTTTGTTTCCTTTTCTTCCCCTCAATCCATCTGCAGGAAGCTATGAACAAAACGAGCAAAGTAAAAGTGCTCATCTCGTCGCAGCCAGACCCTCTCTGTGATGTTGGTCCCACCTGAGCTTGTCTCAAATGCAGGTACTGAGACCATCGGGTGTCTAGATCCCCTCTTGCTGCCAATAAAGGTGATATGCATGGGATTCATTTTCCCTTGAAATGCTTGCATGTAATTGCCATCATCTGGACTTTACAGACAAAGAAGGGAAAAGGCATCTCCAGAGAGGCAGTCATCAGACCTATGTTAGACATAGAATCATCATAGAATCATAGAATGGTTAGAGTTGGAAGGGACCTTAAAGATCACCTAGTTCCAATGCCCCTGCTGTGGACAGGGGCACCTCCCACCAGACCAGGTTGCTCCAAGCCCCATCCAGCCTGGCCTTGAACACTTCCAGGGATGGGACATCCACAGCTTCTCTGGGGAACCTCTTCCAGTGTCTCACCACCCTCAGAGTGAAGAATGTCTTCCTAATATCTAATCTATATCTCTCCTCTTTCAGTTTAAAACCATTCCCCTCTCATCCTATCGCTATACTCCCTGATCAAGAGTCCCTCTCCAGCTTTCCTGTAGGCCCCACTTAGGTACTGCAAGGGGTTCTAAGGTCTCGCTGGAGCATTCTCTTCTCCAGACTGAACAACCCCAACTCTCTTAGCCTGTCCTCATAGCAGAAGTGCTCCAGCCATCTGACATCTTTGTGGCCCTCCTCTGGACTTGCTCCAACAGTTCCTATGCTGAGGGCTCCAGAGCTGGATGCAGACTCCAGGTGGGGTCTCACCAGAGCACAGTAGAGGGGCGGAATTACCTCCCTCCACCTGCTGGCCACACTGCTTTTGATGCAGCCCAGGATGTGGTTGACTTTCTCCTGTAAGATGAGACAAGATGTGTGGTGGAAGCAATTCCTCTTCCTGGTCGGTGTAAAGGGAGTCCAGACACCTAACTCAGATGAACGTGCCTCCACCACCCATATTTGGTCCAATAAATCCCTATCTTCCAGAGAGCAATTTGACTCATGTTAACATTGGTGTTTTAAGACAGTTGAGTTGAAACATTTTATCTAGGGGCATGGCCAATGACATTTCAGGAGATACGTCTGGGCCATTGGTATTAAATGGCAAGGGTCGTCATCTGTGCTTTAGGTCCAAGAGATACGCAAGCCTCACAGAAAGGAAAAGCACTGAAGGGAATCGACTGTGGGAGATTTACTTTGTCTGGCTTCTCTCTGTCAGAGTTGTTTGCCTCTTTTTTAAACTTGATTTGTGTAGTGAAAAGTAGGACAACAAAGTACAATTGTGAAGTTTCTGTGACCAAGAGGGGTTTTGTATGACAACAAGTCCATCTACTCCTGGTATCAATATCCAAAATAAATGTTTTCATCTGCATTTTGAACCCTCATGTTTCCACAGATAATGCAGTGGCCCAATTTAACTGTTACCTGTAGTAAAAATAAGTTTAAGCACAATTATTCTGTAATAATAATTCAAAATGAAGGGGAAAAAAAAGCTGCTAATATTTATTTTTTTTTTTAAAGTATTTCTTCCACAGCTCTGACAGCTTCCACTAAACCTTTTATGACTCTGGGATGTAATACCATTTTTGCTCATGAGTAATTACAAGTTCATCTGCCACATCCTCTGTAGCAGCACAGATAGAGCAAGTACCTATATAAATTAAGCAGGGCTGAAATCAGAACCTATGCAATGATTTACAATGGCAGGGGAAAATTTATGGAAAATAAAATAAGATACACTTTTTCGACATCATGGCACTACGGGTATTGCTATTTTTCTGTATGGTGCATAAAGTCTCTAATATCTGACCACCAAGACTCCTTAGTGAATTTACATGGTGCAGCAAGGAAGTATTACTATCAGGGGGTGAAATCTACAGACAACGCGGCTGCCAATTATGGTACCCGGCACGGACTCAAGGACTTCCTGTGGCATCTCAGACCAAGACCATAATGATAAATTGAGAACATCTACTTTCCTGAGCTGCCTGATCCTGCCTCTTATAACAAGAGTGTCCAACCCTTTTGCTGAGACGAGCTGCCTCACATCCGATGGGGACACGCAAGGGCTGCAACTTGGCATCTCACCTCTATGGTGACTGGCGAAGAGTTACACTTAACCTCATTTTGCAGCCTGAATGTACACGTCCATTTGAAAGGGGGAAGATGCAGGGGCACATGGAGTAGGAGATGGCAGGGAACAGAGAGAAGGGGAGCAGAATCATTTGCACAAATGCCTACTGCTCCTTTCCCTGGGCTGCGAGCAGTGGCTGGCTGCAGGTTGCACTGAGCCACCCAGCAGCCTTGTCCAGCCTGAGAGTTGGCCCCCGGTACCTTACTTACAATGTATTTCCCTCATACATTCTCTATTACAGTCATTCAGCTTTGTGGTTTGTTTTGGGGGGTTTTGTTGGTTTTGTTTTGTTTTGTTTTTTGTGGGTGGGTGAAGAGTTTAGATGGGGGACATGAGCATTCACACAAAGTAATAAAGCACTACTGTTAGCACACACATCTCAAGATGAAGGAGCACTTTTCAAAATTTAAAATGCAGACAAAGGAGCTCAGCAGGCAGAAATTCACATATGTTTAAACATTTCTATCATTGAAGGGAACCCAAATGCCTTATTTTGTACCAGTTAAAGAAAAGCTATTTACTGACACTTTGTTATGTTAATGTACAGGTTGGGACTGGTTCTCCAAGTTGTATTGTTGAAGTGACTGCACTGTATTATATGAAAACATTATGCTAGATAAACAGTCATTTAATCTTTATTCCTGACAGAAATCCATTCATTAAGGTCTACGATAGGTCTTAAGCTGGAATGTTTCAGCGATGTTGACATTTCTGATTTCTCAATTTATGTACACGTTTGTTGATATAAGAATACTATGTACACTCACATATTCGTATACATACATACATATAAACAGGGATAAGTAACAAATGTATGTTAGAAAGTCTGCATTTATAGGACAAACACACTACACTAGAGGTCATAGGTAACAGCCAAATACGCTAATGAATTGGCAGTTTAACAAAAGAATGATGACTACTCAGTAAGATTAAAAAAAAAAAAAAGTCTGTGCTTTCGATCTCTGAGCAGCACAGAAGAGTGCAGAGAGAATTTAAAGTGTGTAAAATTATGGCGCTCCCTTGAAATTAGTTCACCCACAAAGCCATCTGGCTGATCATCCTCCCAAATCCATCCTAGATATTCCTCAAACAGCCCCAAATCACATGCACAACCTGGAAGGATGACCTGTCCCCCACTGACTTGTCCATACGTATGCAGCTGGCATCAACATCACTTCCTACAAAAGCTCTTGAGGGCTGTGTGCCCAGGACCCTTCTTGTCCCATTATGGGAACAATGTCCTTTTGGATGTAAGATAAGCAGATACCATGGCACATAACAGAGGAGGCATCATATGCCATTTGACAAACCCCAGGCATCAAGCCAACAATTGAGGTCACAAAAACTTTGCTCCATTTTCTGTTCATATCTCATGGAACCTCATGAAAGAGGTGACAGAGAGCAAGCTGGGGTTGCATGCGTTTGGCTAGTGGTCCTCATCCAGTAGTGTACAGGATAGCTACCTGTCCTCTACAGGAGATCTGGATTGCACATTTTCTTTGGCAGCAGAGTTTTTCTAAGCATAATTTGTCTATACAGGCTTGTTTCAAGGGCAAGGGAGACTCTGAAGTGTTTTCCCATGAATACCAGTCAGCACACATTTTATGCCCTTAGCAGTGGTTGACTCAATAAAATTGGCTATACCTTCATCTCGATCAACATATCTGAGGAATAAAGGACCTCCTAACTAGGCAGGCTATTTCAGCAGCTCCTGCTGGCTGAAGAAAGCAGATCCTTTACACTGTGCTGCCTTCATTTTCTGCCTGACTACTCTTTGACCTTCTTAGCCAAAATTGTCATTAACTCATTTGCAGCTTTGCGATCGGCTCTACTGTCAAGTATTAAATTTATTCTTGTCTCATTTTAGACTTCATGCGGTAAAAACGCAACAGGCTATTTTCAAGGCAAATGCAGTATTAAATGCAGGGTGACATGCATTATCTTGAATATATATGCCTTTAAAACCAAACTGGAGTGAAGACCACACAGTTTCTGCAATATCAAAGTTCTACAAAAGTTGTTCTTGTTACCCGCAATTGGTAAAGAATGTTTCACCAGAAAATGAGCTCTAGATAATTTTAAAATGACATTACACCTTTTCAGTGGAGTAAAATGCCTGTAGGACTTACTCCTTTGGTCTCGAGGTTTGCCCCAGACCTTCAGACTTCATTGTGTCCAAGGAGCGACAAGAAGGCACTATGTACTTCCATGGACATCAGCTACATTTTGTCATAACAAGACTCCAGATACCTGAAACTCACTTTGGATTTCAATAAACCAATTTATGATTGAGGAGAAAAGGAAACTAACATCTTTTGTTTTGTCAATCCAATGCAAACAATAACATTTTTTTCTTTGTTCTCTTTCCCTCCCAGTTCCCCTTCATCCCTAGAAAGCACTAACCATTGAACAGTTCTTTCTGGTCAATCTATTTTCAAAAGGGTTAGTATTTGTGTTTGTGTGTTTTATTCTTCCTCCAATGAAGAAACAAAAACAAAAACAAAAACAAAAACCCTACCCTCAAATTGCCTTTAAAAAGTGCTGAACACCATTCCCATAGCCATTATTCACCAGCCACATCGTGCCTTTTGACAGCTCGGTTGTTTTTGAAAAGCGCTGCTGCCTGATTATACAGAAACACTCCAATAAGAAGTACATATACACTTAAATGATGCACTTTTTATGACGTCTTTCCAAGAGCAACAGTAGCTAATTGTTGAGTTTCCTACTGGTAAATGTCTCTTTTAATATGCAGATCTCTTAATGACTACTCTGATGCAAATTGTTGATGCTAAAGTAATTTAATCATATATATAAGAAAAAAAGTTTAGGTCTTACTTAGAGTATGCTTTATCATCTTTCCAGGTAGCACAAATACAACGTAGGCCATGTGCCATGTGGTTCACAGCTGCCAAGTGTTGTCTTTATTTTAAATACTATTACTGAACATACCCGTAGGGTTTTTTAGTCCCACTTACTTGGTGCTGACTGGCTTTTGCCAACTGCTCATTGGCTGACTCTACATTAGAAGATGCAGTCTCAATGTTGGCTTCAATACTATCTGCAAATTAAAACAAGAGAAGATAATTACAGGGTGCAAACCTAAAACAAAGACTTTATACCAACAGCAATTCAGCAATTCACTCATGGCCATAAAGAGAAGAGCAGCCTCTTGTTTGCAGGCCATAGTACTACAGGGAAATTGGAATGCCACCCATTTTGATGAGCACTTAACCCATCAGTCAGAGGCACTATGACCAACACGTCTCCATGTGTTCCTAGAAAGGATGGAGGTTAGCAGCTCATCCCATTCCCACTGAAACCAATGGCAAGACTGACAGGGAATTCAAAAGAAAGCAGGTCAAGGCTGGTAAATTTACTAGATTAGAGTCAAATTACAGAAGGGACATGGCATATTGCATTCGAAATTATCTCATTGTCAGACCTCAGGGATAAGAGTCATTTGAGTATATGCAGGTTATTGACCATCCCCAGGTGCCTGTACTTGAGCAAGTCACCTCGGAGACTATCACAGTAAACAGAGAGCAAGTCATAGAATCAGAGAATCAGAGAATTGTTGAGGTTGGAAGGGACCTTTAAGATCATCAAGTCCAACTATTAACCTAACCTGAGAAAACCACTTCTAAACCATGTCCCCAAATCCATACTGTGCAATTAATCCCACTCTACAGTAGCTACCTGCCGCTGATCAGACGAATCAGATCCTAAACTCCTGGGTCACATTTCGAAGCTGCAAGGGGGAATCTGTACAGATGGCAACAGATTGAGACACACTGCTGATACCTAAAATTAAGGGAGAAGAATCTCACCCTAGACTGCTAGGTCTGACACTGGGGCAAGTTGGAGGAACCACGAGGAATCAAAAGGAGACTAGAAAAGAAAGAAAAAGCCACACATTGCAGCTGGCAGCTCCCCACTTCCATCAAGGACAAGTAATAACTTTGACTCTGGAGCTGTGCTTAGAAAGCAAGACACCTATGGTATAAAACGGGCAAAGAAGAGTTTGTTTACAGCAGAAATCTTAGAAATCTTGACATACTTATGCCCTGAGTTGTGCAGCCAATAATTTCTTGCCACAATGGAAGGGTATGTGCATTTGGTCTCCTTTTGTGTGTTTTAGAGGAAATATCACACCATGGAGTATACGAAAAAGGTCAGGAGGAATTCAACCACAGGTAGAAATTTGAGAATAAGGTTCCAGGGATTTCTCTAATCCTTAATAAAATTAATGGAAATTCTTCAACTGATGGTATTAGGAGTTGGATTAAGACACGCTACAAAAGATTTAAGTAATTTCTTCTTTTATTTTTGAAGGAAAGAACATGAATCAGACTGGCCACTTTTGTGATAAGTAAAGTAATGAAGGTTTGCAGACAAACTGCTGAAAATGGTTGTATTCAGATTTTGCCATTTTTAAGTGGAACAGTGTTGCAAGTCTGTTAAGGTAATTATGCATTTCTGATAATTCAATTAAAAAAAAAGCCACAAAACCAACCAAACAAAGAAACAAAACAAAAAAAAAGAGCAAAGGAACCACAAACCAACAGAACCACGGAATAAACAAACTTCAGCTTAACACTTGGAAACCTGTTAAAAGTCTTTTATTACACCTGGGAGAGATTGTTTTCCGTTCCTTTTATTTCAGATTATGCATGCTGTAGTAAACAAGACAAAAACCTACATGGCCAGCATTTTTATAGATTGATATACTGTAATTTTATTGGCCATATCCAACGCTTCTCAAACCATTTTTATTAAGACTTTAACACTGTGGACTTTGGTTGGCATCACTGACCTCTGCCCAAATGCTTTCCTTGCATTCAGGACTCAGCAGGAAAAGATCAAAAGGCTTCTAAGGAACTCAACCTCTGTCTATGAAGAAATACCAATTTTTCTTCTACAAAGCCTTAGAAGAACTGCATCCACACACATGCACACATCAGTGTGACAGCCTTGACGAGTTTACTTCCAGTATTGCATTGATCTGAAGGCATTTCTGGGAAAGTGTCAGATTTTTCTTCTCAATACCGGTAGAAAAAAAAAAAAAAAAAAGTGCTGAATTACCAAAAGTGATGAACAGAAACATGGATGGCACAACAGCACACTGCAGTGAGCAGCATTTTTGCCATGTGAGTGGATCTACCCAGGGTCTACCTCAAATAGGTAAAGAAGCCTGAGAAACAGCCTGTTTCTTGTGAGTGAAACATGGTAGACAGATTTCAACATGTCACCGGATCATAATGAGGTCCTAGGTGAGTTTACAAGGAAAACCCAACCACCACATCTCCACAAGGGCTATCACCGTCAATTGGTATCAAGCTTCTGCTTAAAAAGAATAGATGTCCCAACTCAGGGCTGGCCCTGATGTCTTTCCAGCCAGACATTGAGGCTGACCCACAAATCAGTAATTGGTCATTCTACATATATGATAGGAGTAGCAGTAGAGGGATATTTGATGTTTTCTGGTTAGAATTGAGAAATAGCTAAGAAGGGGTAGATCTATGGGCTAGACTGGCTCTGTAGGACAGGGGAGTGCCTTCTTTCTGTGTTTGCACGTTAAGACAGTGCTGCGTTATTGGCAACTACAAGCCCAGGTCTAACTTCCAGCCCTGTGTAGATGAGCCTCTCTGCATATGGAAACAACAGGGCACAAGGCAGAGGAACCAAAAGGGTTAATATGTCATTTACACAGGCGAAATGCATCAGTCCGAATAATTTGTCATTCACCCAAGGTGACAAATTCTCATTTGCCTAGTTGTTGACAAGTATTTACTTCCCTGGTTAAGCATGACTACATGATGCATAGTTAACCAGATTGGTTTTGCCTAAAAAAAAAAAAAAAGTTTATACATTCTGTGGAAATCCATAAGAACTAGTTAGTGGGACAAAAGCAGTTTGCATCAACTGAAATTCAGACCCTGAACACTCAAAGCTCCAACATGCCATAGGTTTCCTACAGCCAAGATGTGACATGTTAGGATGGGGAAAAAAGAAGAAAAAAATCATGTAAAAAAAAAAAAAAATTGAACCAAAACTGAAGAATATATCCTGCTGGGACACTTGTTAATTTTAGAAGCACAAAGCCTGATTGTGGTTTTGGGTTACAAAATACAACTTTACATAGGAAAGCAACTACCATATATTAAGCTACTTTGTGATGGGATTTGGAAGGGATGAGGGGACTTGGGAAATTTGGAAGGGGCGGAGGGAGTGTGCTGAACACCTTGATAGTTGTGTAATCAAAGTAACAGAACCTGCTCATGTGTCCGATGTTTCTCAGGATCTTAGTGCAGACACCCTTCACTACTCAATGACTCTTAAAGGCTGATTGTTCTCAGAAAATTAATCATTTAGGCAAAGAATCATAGAATAATAGAATTGTCCCACTTGGAAGGGACCTTTAAGATCATCGAGTTCAATCATCAACCTAACACTGCCAAAACCACCACTAAACCATGTCCCTCAGCACCGCATCTACCCACCTTTTAAATATCTCCAGGGATGGCAACTCCACCACTTCGCTGGGCAGCCTCTTCCAATGTCTGACAAGCCTTTCAGTGAAGAAATTTTTCCTCATAGCCAAACTAAACCTCTTGTGGTGCAACTTGCAGCCATTTCATCTTGTTCTATCACTTGTTACTTGGGAGAAGGGACCGACCCCCACCTCACTACACTCTCCTTTCAGGTAGTTGTAGACAGGGATGAAGTCTCTCCTGGGCCTGCTTTTCTCCAGGCCAAACAACTCCAGTTCCCTCAGCCCCTCCTCATAACACTTGTGCTCCAGACCCCTCACAAGCTTCATTGTCCTTCTCTGGACACACTCCAGCATCTCAATGTCTTTCTTGTAGTGAGGGGCCTAAAACTGAACACAGTGCTCGAGGTGGGGCTTCACCGGTGCTGAGCACAGGGGGAGAATCACTGCCCTAGTCCTGCTGGCCACACTGTTCTTGATACAGGCCAGGATGCTGTTGGCCTTCTTGGCCACCTGGGCACACTGCTGGCTCATATTCATCTGGCTGTCCACCAACACCCCCAGGTCCTTCTTCACCGAGCAGCTTTCTAGCCACTCTGCCCCAAGTCTCTAGCGCTGCAT